TGAACATCGGCAAGGCTTTCCTTGAAGGGTCTGACTTGCATTGAGCTGGCTGGTGAGAAAGGGCGCGCGGTTCGCTTCGCTCTTCCACCTGTTTCAGCCTCGGCGCTGCGCGCACTGCCTGGCGACTCGCCCCATGGCGAGTCAAAGCATTGTCTTCAATCCTTTAAGCCAGGCGCAGGCACCAATGGCGCCCCTAGGGCATTCTCGCTGAAGCTGAGGAACACCGCGCGAGGCTTCGGGCTGCGACCCACATCGCACGCCGAAGGCTTTCAGACGAGCCCAAATCTCCTGACAGCCGAGCACGCGGACGACAGCAATATGGCAGGAGCGGAGGACACCATGCACAAGTACGTCGAATGCGTAGAAGGTACGTTCGGCGCATGTAGATTGGACAAACACTGCTACACCAATTGCGCCATGCGACGCAGTAAGACCGACGGCGGTCGCGCCCATATCAGGATGAATGCATCAAACAGCTTCGCCCGATGCAGCAGCTAGAACTCACGGGCGCTGTAGCGGGAGATGAGGCGGCGAAGGCCGTGCCCGGCACGTTGCGCAGTCCACGCGCGCAGCGCATTGTCGCTCAAGCGCGCCCAATGGCACGCGCGGCGCCCCTGCAGCGCGCGCTGGCGCCCGCGCGCCTCCAAGCGCGAAGGCCCAGCGCAGCCGCGCGCAAATTGCACCCAGGTCAGAAAGTATGATAGATCAACTTATGACCCCGACAGGAGAAGTGGACCTCCATAGTGACTCAGGATACCGCCGCCTTAATTCGGACGATGGCGACGAAGTAAACGGAGATGACATCCGAGGAGCCAACCTTTTACTGCGTGGACACGCGCCCAACGGCAAAGCAGTGGCACATCTGATCGGCGCACGCTGCAAGTCGCATCGCTTGCAGGCGCGCCCCAGCTACGCAGCTGAAACACTGGCAGCCGCTCATAATCTTGAGGGCTGCAATCCTACCACACTCGCGCTACGTGAGCTGAAAGCCGGGGCCATCACACCCACTCAACCTAAGAACATGTTGGGGTGTTGTGGTCACAGTATTAAGGCCACCCTTACTATAGACGCTGAGTCGGTCTTCAAATGTTGGTTTAGGAAGGACTCGAAGAGGCCGACCGAATGTGTTCTGCTGGGACATGCCAGCTGGATAAGGCAGATGGTGGACCGAGGTATATATATATGCATTGCGTACACTTGCGTAATATCGATATATGACCGCCGACGGCCATGCCACGGGGCGCGTCGATCGCGCGTCACTGATGCAAGCGACGAAAGGAAATCAATCCTTCAAGTACGAAGTGAAACAATATGTGCCCCGTCGAGGCAAGGAAGACACAGCGCCAACATGGGGGCGCCCTAGAAAGGGCCAGCGGGCACCAACTGCGGACGACTACTCAGCCTCAGACAAGTAGTTTTCCTTGCGCAGACACGGGCGCGCACGCCTACAGCGCGGTCATCTTCGCCCGGCCACGGGCGTAGATGCACGTGGCGTCGCAGCTGCCGCGAGTGCCCTGACACGAGCATTACATTTTTTTTACTGTCAGAGGGGATCTGAACGCTATGGCATATTCCCTCGCTCGCCGCGCGCTTTGGCGTCTGGCGTCGGGCCATTCGCCCCCCTCAATCATCGGCGGGTGGTCGCGCGGTCTTGCCCGTGGCCACCCATAATTGTGCGGCTGGTCGGGGCGACGTGCCATGGCCAGCCCTAATACTCAGTGTAGCCTTTTCTTTGCTTTTTTATTGTGCACTGTTAGCGATGGTGAAAAACATCGCCCTCACCCCCCCTTGCTCTACTTAACTCGTCGGGACTAGGATCGGCCCTCCCCTCCCGACTTAAGGGGGGCTGTATAGCAAACGCTATATCCGACGCTGTCCTGGCTCAAGGCAGCGCTGTCCTACATTCCCGGTGCGCGAGATTCAGCGCCCCTAAATTGGGGCCGCAGCAACGGACGAGGCCATGTCTTTCCACGATTCACCTTCCATTCCCATGGTTCCTTGCTTGCTTACCCCTTCGCTTGCCATCGAAAGATGAGTTATGGGATGCGTCGATACGTCGCCGACGTTATCCTAAAGAGCCGGGGTATCAGCTAATTACCTTATGGTCAAGCTCTGTATCTCTACTTTCCGTTGAGAGTATCAGGAATATTGTTTGGGATAAATTCCGGATTTTCCAGGTGCAACCACTGCGTTGATTCGCGGCGTTGGAATCTTTAGAATGTCGTTCTGACACGGTCCAGGGTCGTCAATACGCAACACTCAGGTTGATCCGTGGCGTTGGAATCCCGGGAGCAATGTATCGGCATGTTTCAGGGTTTGCAAACGGTTGCCTTCCAGCGGGGCAGTTCCTTCAATATAAATGAGCCGTTGCAGGAGCATGTCAGTCAAAAGCGAGTTTGGAGGGAGGATGTATTCCAACATCGTCGGTGGTTCGTGGGTTTGCGCTGGTCATCCTCGTCCTCTTCCGTGTTCTCCTCCCCCTCCTCCCACCTTCATCAGTATATTCCTCTTCCTCCCTCCCCACAAAGACAGGATGCTGGTAATGGTGGTGATGTTGCTGTTGAAGGCGATGGTGATGGTGATGAAAATGACGGTAGCGACGAAGGCTGCGATGATGGTGGTCGTGTCGGTGATTATGATAATGGTGATGAATGTGGTCGGGACGATAAAATGACGATGATGATGGTGATGATGGTTGTGATGGTGGTGGTGATTATGATGACGGTGATTGCGATCGTGATGGTGATGATGATGGTGGTGGTATTGGTGATGATGATGATGGAGATGACAATGACGACTGCGGGAGTATATGGCGGTGGTGATGTGATGATGGCGATGCACAATGTGATGGTGGCGATGGTGGTAATAATGGCGATGATGATCATGTGCCATTGATGATGATGGCGAAGGTGTTAATAATGGTGATGATGGTGGTGGTGACGATGATGGAGATGATAATAATGATGGTGATGATTATGCTGGCGATGGGGCGTTGGCTGTGTGAGTCCCACCGTGTGATATCGCGGGCTGTTCAGGCCGCGAGGGGTATTTTCACGTGGCACGCTATCCTGTCTCCAAGGAGTGGTTCCCCACATGGGCGTCCCTACTTCAGGTCGGTTCGTGTGGCGATCCTTTTCCTGCCCTTGTCCGGCACATTTCCGAGCCTACGTTTGAGTCTTGAGCGCAGGGGAGTTTTGGGCAGGATGGACCTCAAAAATATATTAACCTTGGTTTATATAATGTTCTGGGATTCTTGACCAGTGTTTGTAATGTCTCGCCCAGAGCGTTATGAACCTGGGTTTAAATGTTCTCGGAATGTTGACTGGGGTTCATATTGTTCCCCCCCCGGAACATTATAAACCCTGGTTTATAATGTTCTGGGGATACCGACCCAAACAACATATGAACCTGGCTTCATAGTGTTCCGGGAATATTGACTGGGGTTTATAATGTCCCAGGAATTATGAACCCAGTTTTCGAAATTCTGGAATGATAGTAATTATTATTATTCGGGAGCCTTGAGACGGGGGTCAATACAGACGGGGGTCAGCCAGGGCGCCAGATCCTGCAGGATCCTGCGAAGACCCCCTCTGGCTGACCCGGGTTAGGGAGCCGCTCGTTGCCGCGAGGCGGCCGCTGTATTGGCTGACCCGGGTCTGCGAAGACCTGCGGTGCAGTTTTTTTGTCCTGGATTGCAGTTTTTGATTTCCTGATGACCCGGGTCTGGATTGACCCGGGTCAGAAGATCCCCGAATTATTTTCCCCCCAACCCCCAGGTTCCCCAGCAAGTTTTTCGTGTCGCAATATGGACCCCGGTTTCTTATCTCCAGGAGATAATAAACCCGATTTATCATGTTTCCGGAATATTGACCCCGGGTTCATGATTCTGGAATGATAATGATTGAACTTGGCGGGCGCCGTTTGCGAGTACGTTCCGGATTGAAATAAACACTGGTCCATAATGTTGGAATATGAAATTGAGGTTAATGATTCCGGAAAGATGATGATTCGGCCACGGGGGTGTTGAGCCCGATCCATTCACAGGATAATAATCCCTAGGGTATCATCTGAAGATAATGAACCTAGGTTTTCATTTCCTAGATAATGATCCACGGTCGACGAGGATTTCACGCCCACCCTCGTTATGTGTCTCCCTCCTCCTCCCTTCCTCTGCTCGTCCTCCGCCCCCTCCTCCCTTCTCTTGTTCCCTCTCGGCGCTGTGTGTAAGGGACCTCGTTGGCCGTCCGGGCCGCGGGGGATATCCACATGCACGCAGAGGAATCGCATATTCGATTCGTCATTCAGGTTACGGTTCAATGCATGAGTTCGTTTATTGCAGGTCGGTTTGTGCGGTGTTTCCGGTTTGTCTAGCGGCTTTCTGATTCGCGATGTGGTTGTGACAGAAGTGGCGCTTTGCGTTGAAAATGATAATGATTGCGATGGCGATGGTGGTGTGATGACCGTGATGATGGTGATGATCGTATATGTGATGCTTATTATGGTATGGAGATGTTGATGGTGATGGTGTTGATAAGCAGGAGGGTGAGGAGATGATGATGATGATGATGCTGATGTTGATGCTGATGATGATGATGATGATGATGATGATGATGATGATGATGATGATGATGATGGTGGTGGTGGTGGTGGTGGTGTTGATGATGATGATGATGCTGATGATGCTGATGATGCTGATGATGATGATGATGGTGATGGTGATGATGTTGGTGACTTTGTTGTTGTTGGTGACGATAGTTTTTTTGTTGTGGCGACCAGTAAGAGGGGGAGGAGGTATGTTCGGGTTCCCTGAGGGATACCTGGGGCGCGTCGAGAGTGTCCGTTGGTCTTGAATCTGTTGAAAGGTGGGTCCGAGGTTTTGAATAGCAGGGGAAGGGAAGTGGAAGAACAGGAGGAGGTGGAGAAGGGGATTGCAAGATCCTCCTCATCCTCCGTCCCCTCCCCCGGGGCCCCCGCAAGCTTTCCTCGGCAGTCCCTCGCAGGAGGAGGCCGACGACTCTGGCCTCGGCAAGCTGCTCGTCAAACTCGAGATCATGGGCCAGCGCTTCATTGTGGAGGAGGAGCCCATCCTCCCCGGGTGAGCAAAAGGCGAGGAGCAGGAGGGCTTCAGCTGTTTACAGATTTCCAGAGGGGGGGCAGAAGGCCCCGAAAAGCTAGGCCCGATAATCTGCAGCCATTGCAGTCGGAGCATCGAGGCAGGTAGCGCAGTGTGACCGGTAAGTGGCCAAGGGCTTTTGAATCCACTTGCCTGCGGCAAGTCGAGCCACCGTGCCAGCCCAGCACTATGGGTGGCGATTGATAGAGGAGCACACAGGAACCCGTAACGTGTGACACATCCTGTCCCGAGGTTTGGGAGAGTGGTCACGTGTGACACTCTCTTCAGCATCGTGTCGGGGTGCCTCTCTCTCTTTCTCTCTTGCTCGCTCTCTATCGTGTCGTATCGAACTTGGTCTTCATCCCTTTACCTTCTCCCATCCTCCCCTCTTGGCGGCATCTTGAGGGGTTCCTTGGGCTGTCTTGCGCCTTTGGAGTCCGTTTGGGGGGGGCCTCTCTGGGCCGTCTTGAGGTCCACTCGGGGTCCCGTCGACCGACACCCTCTTTCAGAATTTGTTTTGTATTCTTTGTTGGTGGTGAACGATGTGCTTCATTGTGTTGACGGAGGGCGAGGAATTCAGCGCCGTGACAGCATTCATATGTTGCGGCCCCGTCGTTGGCATCGTCGTGGTCGCTGTGGTGGTGGTCGTCGTCGTCGTCCTGGTAGTCTTCGCGGTCTTGAGAGTAGTGCGGGGGGAAAGAGGCGAAGCGGGGATGGAGATGGTGCCGAAAGAAAGGGAAGTGTTGTGAAGCTGTGGAGCAGGATGAGGATGAGGATGATGATGATGGTGGTGCTGATGCTGATACGGATGCAGATGCAGATGCAAGTGCTGATGGTGGTGCGAGATATACACCGTACATCGTGTGTTATTGTGCGGGTCATGATTGTAGCAGAGCGAGCGTACCATTGCATTTTGGCCCGAACCTTTTTTCCCAACCATCCTGTGGTGCTGGGTCCTCGTTTTGAAGAGACGGTGCCCCGCGTTCCTCCTTCCTTCCTTCCTTCTTTCCTTCCTTCCCGCCCTCCTCCCCCTCCTCCCTCCTCCCCCATCCTTGCCTCTGCTTTCGGCACACCTCTCACACGTTTCGTAGCCCCATAGGGAGCTCCACCGAAGGTCCCAGTGGGGGGGGCGCATGCGGTTCCCCCACCCAAGGCAGCGCTTCGTGGCCCCTATAGGGAGCTCCACCGAAGGCCCCAGTGGGGGTGGGCGCATGCGGTTCCCCTACCCGGGGCAACGCTTCGTGGCCCCATAGGGAGCTCCACCGAGGCCTCAGTGGGGGTGGGCGCATACGGTTCCCCCACCCAGGGCAGCGTTTCTTCGCCCCACAGAGAGCTCCACCTAAGGCCCCAGTGGGGGTGGGCGAATGCGGTTCCCCCACCCAGGGCAGCGCTTTGTGGCCCCATAGGGAGCTCCACCGAAGGCCCCAGTGGGGGTGGGCGCATGCGGTTCCCACACCCAGGGCAGCGCTTCGTGGCCCCATAGGGAGCTCCACCGAAGGCCCCAGCGGGGGTGGGCGCATGCGGTTCCCCCACCCAGGGCAGCGCTTCGTGGCCCCATAGGGAGCTCCACCGAAGGCCCCAGCGGGGGTGGGCGCATGCGGTTCCCCCGCCCAGGGCAGCGCTTCGTGGCCCCATAGGGAGCTCCACCGAAAGCCCCAGTGGGGGTGGGCGCATGCGGTTCCCCCACCCAAGGCAGCGCTTCGCGGCCCAATAGGGAGCTCCACCGAAGGCCCCAGCGGGGGTGTTCGCATGCGCCCCCCCTGCCCAGGACAGCGCTTCGTGGCCCAATAGGGAATTCCACCGAAGGCCTCAATCGGGGCGTTCGCATGCGTCTTCCCCACCCAGGACAGCGCTTCGTAGCCCCATAGGGAGCTCCACAGAAGGCGCCAGAGGCGCAGTTCGCACGCGCCCCCCCCCCCCCACCCACCCACCCACCCATGACATCGCTTCGTGGCCCCATAAGGAGCTCCAGCGAAGGCCCCATGGCGCAGTTCGCGTGCGCCCCCCTCGCCCAGGGCAGCGCTTCGTGGCCCCATCGGGAGCTACACCGAAGGCCCCAGTGGCGGTGTCCACATGCGTCCGCGCCACCAATTTCGGAGCACCCCTCACAAGTTTCGTGGCCCCATAGGAGCTCCACCGAAGCCGGTACCCACAATGCGGTACTCGCAACTGCGCATGGTTGGGTCCTTCGCCAGGCTAATTTTTCACGGCCATGGAGTCAGCGCAGCAGCGGCGTGGAAAACATCCCGGATGTTATTCTTATGTCTCAGTCTTATTGCCATGAGACGTCGGGGGCTTCGATAAGTGCACATTGGTAGCGGTGTTTGGCAAACCAGGCTCCAGCTTCGACCTTCCATAACTTAGCGACCGCTCTTCGGATCAGGTCGCCAATTCCATAAGCAGCTTCGACTTCTCAACAGATCTCGGAGGAGATTTCCAAGTCAGTTTCTCGGCACCCCCCGCACGCGACCTCGCAGTCGATTTCACAGACCGGGGCAGTTTCGATTTCGTTGAGCACGTGTCGGACGCTAACCCCTCGCAGTTTCCGTTCAGCAGAATGTCTATGCTGGCGGCGGGCATGCTATCCGAGTGAGGAGTTCCACAGTTCGACGGCACCCTCAGCAAAATGAGAGAATATGAGAATCGGGCGATGAACTTCATCGCGAAGCTCACCTTGGAGAAGAAGGAGGGCGAAGCAGCTCACATGCTCAGCGCAGGTCTCACAGGCGAAGTTTGGGACGAAGCGGAGGACCTCTCAGCGGACGAGCTCACCAGGCCCAGCGAGGCGAAGCAGTCCGTGGCCATATTACGGAATCGTTTCAAGATGGACGATAGGACGGAGCCGGCAAACGATTTTGAGCAGTACTTCTTCGAGCTCAAGCCGTACATGAACGAGACGTTTTTCGCCTACATCTCCAGAGCGCGCGCTGCAGAGCGCAAGCTCAGGATGCGCGACATCGAGCTGCCGGCCTAGGTCCGAGGCTGGCTCGCGCTACGACGAGGAGGATACAGCGCGGACCAGAAGGCGGTCATCATGTCGGTAGTTGGTAAGGATATCACACAGGAGAAAGTTATCCAGGCGTTGGAGACAACGCTCGAGCATGAGAGTGTCATGCGCGAGCCGAATCACGCACGGAATCAGCATTTCGCCGACGAGGACACAGCAGAGCACTACGATGAGGAGTTCTACACTGGCGAGCCAGAGGACGAGCCAGACGACTACGACCAGACGTATTGGGCGGAGGACGACGAGACCTGGTACGACTGCGACGAGAGCTATTACCAGCGCGACCGCAACACAGTTCAAGAGCTCGACCCAGGCGAGCACGACGAAGTCTACGCGGCCTACGCGGGCGCCAGGAAGCGGTTCAGCGACCTGAAGTTAGCGCGCGGCTTCTACCCAGTAGTGGCGATGGCAAGCGGATGCCCAGGTTCGGCCGCAGCATCAGCAGGGGGATCACGCGGACGAGGCCGGTCAAGCAGCGAAGGCACCAAAGGATGCGGCAAGTCCAATGGGAGAGAGGGCAGCCCAACAGGATCACTTCCAGGCGCGCACAGCAGACCGCGACCTACGGCAGCGGACCCAATGGGAAGGGCAAGGGCAGCTACGAGACCAGCACCAACATCAGCACCATCGGCCAACTGCTTACGACGCGGCAAGCCTGGCCACTGGGCTAGGGACTGCACCGAGCAACAAGAAGCGGGTTCACGCCGACGACAGCTCGATTGTCGATGAGGTATATTGGAACGGCAAGTGTCATAGCAAGGCCAACGCCAGCGCAATACCAGCCAGCAACGGAGTCATGGACTCTGGAGCGACGACGCACATGTCCGGCTCAGAGACGGTCAAGGACTACGTGAGAGACTGCAAGCAGAACGGTTATCCCATCGAGGACCTCAGGCACTACAAGTGCCAACAGCCATTTCGGCTCGGCAACGGCAAGATCGAACATACGCAGTGGCGCGGCACAATGCCAGCCAGCTTCAAGCAGAAGTCAGGCGCGCTCTACATCTACGCGGCACCGGGACGCACGCCCATCCCAGTCCCGAAGCCGTTGCTGGAGGTGCTCGGAGTCCAGGTCGATTACGCCAAGCAGACAGTTGCGTGAAACGGCGGCGACTTCGAGGCAGCAGCGCCATCACCTCACGGACGCTACACGGCGGACCGTCTAGAGGAGTTGGACGGGAAAACGAGTCACCACACGAACGACTTCGAGCGCGAGCCCGCCGCAGCAGCGCAGATCCTGGGCCCCGGCAACGAGACCATGAGCGGCCTAGAGTTTCTGGGCAGCGCCTACCTGGCGGGCCCCGGCGAGGACGGCGAACAGAAGGAACCTTTTTAAAACGGCGACCTCACACGGGAGGCTGTTCCCGACGCGTCGTGCAAGTCAGTTGTTGCAAAGCTTACATGAAGCAGTGGCAGCGTCAGCAGCATTCCCCATGTGGCAACCTGTGCTTCACTACGACAGTCATCGAGCCAGTCGACTCCGCGCTGTCGGGGCCACGCTGGCGCCCACTGCCACCTGCGACGGTCGAGGCCAACTTCAGCGCCGACGACGACCCCGACGACGGCGCCCAGCTGATTTCGCCCAACTTCGCCCAGATGATCGACACGGCCGCGAAGCATGCCAGCGAGCAGCGCCTACAGACCATGAGAAGGGAGCTCATCAACGGTTCACTGCGAGACGGACGACATGGGAAGTACATGGTGGAGAAGCCAGACTTTCGCATGCACTGCGAGATTTAGGGGCGCGCGTGGAAACGTTTGGGCTCAATGCCGGTTGGGATTTCGCAAAAGAGGACCACCAGAAGACATGCCTCAAGAAGCTGACGGAGGAGCAGCCGAGCCCTAAACGAGGCCCAGCATGACCCCAAGAGCGCCCTCGAGATTCCTCAAACTTAGCATTTTCGAGACATCCTCACACAAGTGAGTTGTTCGCAACATCGCTTTTTACAAAACAAGCG